TTTGAAATATACAAAATAAATAATTAAAAAACGAAAGCTAATAAAATATGCCAACAAATAATGTAACAAAAATCAAATCAAATTTATTTTCTCTTCAAATTGAAAAGTATTTCAAAGAAATTTATTTCTAGCAAAAACTTAAAATAAAAAAAAACGAAAAATTAAACTCAAATTCAAACGTAGATTTTAAATTTCATTTACTATCTACTTTTTTTTTCGAAAGTTTTTCATATTTCAACAACTTTTGTTATATTAATTTTTTAAAAACTTGTTTGAAGTGCTTTGTATACTTTTAATTATTATTTTTATTTCGTTCTATACTATATATTTCTTTTTAAACTTTTTCGAATTTTTTCGAAATTTTTGAAAACTATTTTTTTTTACTTTACATATATTTTTTGTTTGAAATTTTTTCTATTTTCAACAACTTTTTCATATCATAATTCTAAAGATATTTTCCAAAAATCTTCGAAATCTGAACTTTTTCAATAAGCTATATACAAATTTGTATTTCACTTTTTTTATATTTTCTGGAAACTTTTTTCTTCGACCTTACTTGCATTAAATTTTTAAAATGCCGAAAATTTCTAAAATTTTGAATCAAAAACAAACATTTTTATTTTACCTTATATTCATTCAACATCAAATTTTTATTTTTTTGGATGTGTCTTTGATATTTTAAAATATTAACTATTCCAAATCTTCCTAACTGTAATTTTCAAATGCCCTTCACTATTGCTAAGCCGCTGACTCTTAAAGAACACTGTTATTTTACTCACAAACGCTTTCCTATGATAATATCAGCGCATTTAAGATGAATAGGTCTTTACAATATTTAACGGTGAATCACGTGACAAGGGCAACGCGTAAGCACCCGTAATTGACATTTAATGCAAACAACAACAACGACTGGGCAACAAAAGCGCTGCCACAAAAGCGTGTGAATGCGGCGGCAAGCTTGAAAGCGAGGCACCGGCCAGCCAGCCAGACGCGCCGAGCTAACAATTTACGCTAGCTGAAAAGAACATGCTTGAAAAGATCACGGAAAACTTCCATGCAAAACAAATAGACGAATTTACACAGAAAACCCTATAAAAATGTGAAAAGATCAAACGGCCAACGAAAAGAGAGGGCGAAGAGTGAGTGGAGCGGAGTGGAGGCCGCTAAGCTTACAGAAATTAAAGAATAATATAAAATTTTAACTCAATTGCGAGCGTTGTGAAGATGCAGACAGCTGCCTAGCAACACACGCACACACACCTACATACACGCACACACACGCTACATGTACATATGTGAATGCCTTGCAACAAACAAAAGTCGATCAAGTTTGATTTCTGGGTCATGCGGCAGCAAGCAAGCAAATAAAAGCGAAGAAGATGAAGAAGAAGAATACACACGCGCGCACATGCGAGCAATAATCCGCTGAACAATTGAACATTGTAACATAATGAAATCTTCACGCCGGCGAAGAGGAAGCGAAGCGTCGAAGTGCTCGATAGTGGGTTAAAATTAAGGAGTAAAGTGTCTCAAGTGTTTGAGGAAAATTTATTTATTGTGTATCGATGTGAAGCGCGCGCACCCAGACACAGACACACATACATAAACGACTCGAGGAAACGGCATAATGCAAAGTGTTTGAAGTTAACTGAAGCGCAGACGGCACAACAGTCAAGTGGAAAGAAAATAGATTTGAAGTGCTCGTATTGCTTGAAAAGCTGCTAAGCAAGCGTATGAGAAGCGTATCGTTAGCAGCAAAAGTGTGCGAGCTCAATTGAGTGGGCAATGTTGGAGCAGGCAGTGGCATGGAAAATTTTGTTTAAAATTTTTGACAGGTGAAAAATTTTGAAAGAGCAAGAAAGTTAAATATTTTTTGTACATAATTACATAAAGAAAATATGCAGTCTTGCTTTATTGTGCCCCGAAATTAATGATAATTGCACAAAAATCTGGTTTGGCATGCCTTCATAAATATTAAAGCCTACCTTGAGGCGCTAGGGCTTAATGTGTTGTAGTTTTTGCATTTGATTTGCAGAATATTGCAAGGATGCCATATTCAAATAAAATAAAGGCTTACAAATTTTCGATTTAAAAAAATTTAATTTAATTTTTTCAAATTTTTCAAAATTTAAAAAACTGAATTTCGAACAAAAAAAATTTTGAATATGTGAAAAATGTTGCAAGGTCAACATATTAAAAAAAAAATAAAAGCTCACAATTTTTGAACACAAAAAATTTAAAAAATTCATGAGTTTTGAAATTTTCTCGAAATTTAAAAAACTAAATTCCACACACAAAATTATGTATATAATATATATAAATTAAAAACATAATTTACTTAATCCAATTAAGTAAAAAATTCTATAGACAATATCTCCTAAAATGTTATAGGATTCCTTGAATATATGTTAAGGGTTAAACTGAAAAATATGGGTTGCCCATTAAAAAGCCCTTTAAGAACCGATGAAACTGTGAATTTCTTGTATAAATATTATATTGCCTACTTTAGGCGCTGATAAAAGCTGAATTTCAATGATTTGACCAAAAACCTATGTGTAGGAAATTCTTTACTCAAAATTAGCTAAATATACGATATAAACTACAATAAATTGGAAGCATTTCGAAATATGTAACATATCTCCAGGCGCAAAAATTTGTACACAGTCATAATTTGGATAATTTTCAATATTCACAAGTTTAGTTGATGGCATAATTCAGTGAATACATACTTTCTATCGATATCCCGCTTTGAAATTTTGATTCCCACCAAAAGCCGCACGCCTGCGCAACTGTCTCACACAGCATTTGCATCCTGTCTCCGCTTTGTTTGCCAGCTGACGACTCCAGCCAACTATGCCATTTCTAATTTCATTTCAATTTATATCCTCTCATTCATGTTTGTAGTCAAACAGTGGCAGCGAACCCTAACTCAAATGCAGTCGAAACTATTTT